TGTAGAACTCTCGGTTATGCCAAATATGTAAAAAAATAAATTTCTAGAAAAACGAACCGGTTTTTTTGAACCGGATATTCAAATAATAAACCGGTTTCAATATCTTATATGCATATAATAAAAAAAGCTTGTAAACATACGTTCTAAATTTATTGATTCGGAATCTTATCGGTTTATGTGGCAACTGTTTCGCTTCAGCAAAGATGTTTATAAGAAATTTTGTAGAAAAAAGAAAATCATGGACCTGTGAGCATGGGACCGAAACAATCGCTCAGAAATCGACAGAGTGTGTCTTCGAAGCAAATAGTCACCGTTTTCTTCAGCGAAATATCATGCGACAAATGTTCTGCATGATCAAGTAAAACGTGCAATTGATGGGTCATCCGCCGTACAACCTGGAGTTGTCACCCAATGTCTTCCATTTATTCCCGCAGATTTGCTAAATTGACTTGCTTGTGATGAAATTTAAAGTGTAAATCGGATAAAACGCCTATATCCAAACTTTACATATATAAATCCGAACCTTTTGGAGTGTAACTTATTGGAGATTATTATAGATTGATGTTGTGTGCTTCAATCCATTACTAATTTAACAACATTACTATTGTCCAAGTCCAACTTGTATTTCCCCCTTAGTAAAGAAAATGAATTCCTTTTCGCATCAACTTTATTAAAGAGCAAATTTTATCCCAGCAAAAATATCCCTTCAACATGATTGAAAAAAAAAATAAACAATCACCCTCTTTTTTTGGACGATGGTCATTCAACTTCAGTAAAAAGGCATAAATTCAAATCGTACACACATTGACTGACTAGTGTGACCAGATGGGTGACCAAGGCTTTAATTACTTCTAATCTGCACTATTAGGGATTTTCAATTTACCCAGCCGCATTGATTAGAATGGAGTACTAAACACACACGCAGTGGTCAATAAGTGTGTGTGTGTATGTATGTGTGTGTGTGGAGCAGTTGTAATCAACTCTATAAATGTGGTACATACTCTACTCTCTATATACCAAACTTATATACACATCATACACACAATCAAACCAAACATTCAAATATGTGTGAGTATGTGTGTATATGTGTCCACAGGTGTTCATGAATGTGTGTGCGTGTGTGTTTGTGCGTGTTAAATGACTGTCACATTGACCATTTGCTAAATGTAACGCATTAGAAACACACTTTCATTTATTGATCTGCAAATTTTCCCAATAGGATTTTTTGTGGCTCGATTTCATTTGTTAAGAACTTAATCATATTAGTGTGCCGAAACCAGCACACACACACGCACACAGAGACACACAACTACTTCCTGCTGAACCAGACACACGTGAATGTATGACCATCAAGGACTAAAACTTAAGTTATTGATTTTTATTTAAATATTCTCTTTTTCTTCATTAGGTAATTACCCAGAACTAAAACAACTACAAAAAATGAAATGAACAAAAATGTGTAACTCTGACCGAAACACTAAAAACCTCAAAAGAAAATAAAATGACCGAACGCATGTTTGAACGTACGAACGTATCGTACATTCGAACTTACTAATCGATAGGTTAGTTTGACCAATTATGGTTTATGGAGAAAATTCAATTTTCATATTATAAAAAATATTTTATTTTGCAGCTGCATGCATGCTTGGAAGTACGAAGATGCTAACAATTAAGTTATATAATTTAGTTTTCCGGTTATGCCATCATTGTTTTGCGGTAAAGAAATTTTCAAATGTCAGTCACGTTCGAATAGCATTTTTTGGATGGGAGGAGGGAAATACATTGTTCAGTTTTTTGAGGTAATATTTACAAATAGGTATTTACATTTCATAATCGGAAATATTGAAAAAATGGACTAATTTGAGAAGAATAAAAAAGTAAATGATTTTTTTTTTTTTGACAAAGATCAGAAGATAATGGGGTGGCGTAGGGGATAATAGATATCAAGCAACAGCTCTGATTGGCTTTAATATGGCGAATCCCAGGTTTATCTTGATCCCTCTTCTATCTCAATTGTGGATGCTGACTATTTTCATCACCCATTGAAATAGTGAGCTGATATGTGCCGCGAGCTCACCCATAAGAACTATAACAAATGGGTTGAGACGTCGGGATAGTTGCCCACACTCAGAAAAAGCAAAGAAAAAGAAAACCAAACCTCCCTAATGTTGACGACCCCGCAAACGTTTAAAGGACCACGATCTGCGAATCTGCACTTAGAGTTTTTGCCTTTGCGGGTGCACTCAAGAAGTACAAAGCCGATATTATTACCTTACAGGAAATGCGATGGAAAATGATTGGCGTAAATAAATCAGACGATTACGAACTGTGTTATAGCTGCCATGACACGAGACATGAATTTGGCTGCTACATTAAAATTCTGCAAAAATCGGAAGGGAACACATTTTTGGCCCCACCTTCGGAAAATTCAGCCTCCATGAAGAAACATCAGACAACGGCATGAGGTTGATTGACTTCGCGGTAGCCAAAAACATGGTAGTCAGCAGCACCAGATTCAAGTTTATCGATATACACAAGGCCACCTGTATTTTTCCCGATCGAACAACTAGAAAACAAATCGATCATGTTGTGATAGACGGAAGGCATTCATCCAGTGTTTTACACGATATGCGATGGAGAATTATCGGTAAAAAAGGAGAGAGGAGAAACATGTTTTCAGAAAAAAGAAGAAAGAGCAAGAAAAACGTGAGCGTGAGTAAATCGAGATGTACAGGAGTCAGAATGAAGTCCGGAAATTTTACCAACGAGTAAAACACCAAACCAAAGGTTTTGGTGCAGGCACATCCTCCTGTAGAGATGAAGATGGAATCCTGATGCAAGATACAGGCAGCGTTTTGAACATCTTGAAAAGCTTCTGGTATCAAATAGTGGCGGTGAGGAAGATACTCCAGAACCAATAAGAGATGATGGTATAGAGTGTATACCACCTAGCCAAGATGAGGTCATAAAAGCAATTAATCGGCTCAAGAACCATAAAGCAGCAGGAGCCGATGTGTTACCAGCCGAACTATTCAAGACTGGTGGTCAGATGCTGGACAGGAGCATGCACCAGCTGATTAGTACAATTTGGCTAGAGGAATGCATGCCCAATGATTGGAACCTCAGCATCCTGTGTCCCGTGCACAAAAAAAGGAGACAAGACGATATGTGCTAACTGGAGAAGAATTAGTGTGCTGTGTGAAGCCAATGGCAAATGACATCATCGGACCATATCAATGCGGTTTCAGACCTGGCAAATCCACCATTGACCAGATTTTTACTCTGCGCCAAATCCTGGAAAAGACCCACGAAAAACACAACGGCACATACCACCTACTCGTCGACTATAAAGTCGCATTCGATAGCCCTATCCCTTCAGAGGTGTTAAAAGCCATGTCTACGTTCGACATTCCTGCAAAATTAATATGCCTATGCAGGATAACTTTAAGTGGCACAAAGTCAGCAGTTAAAGTCGGAAAGGACCTATCGGAGCCCTTTAATACCGAACGAGGATTCAGACAAGGTGACAGTTTTTCGTGTGATCTTTTTAAGATCATACTGCTGGAAAAGGTCATACGAGACGTAAAGGTGAACAGAAATGGCACTCTGTACACCAAACAATACATGTTACTCGCCTACGCCGATGACATCGCTATAATGGGTCGAACATTGCGGGCGGTAACAGCCACCTTTGAACAAATTGCGAAGGAGTCTGCCAAAGTGGGTCTGGCAGTAAACGGCGAGAAGATCAAGCTGATGGTATCAATGTGCAAGACGTTCAATAGACTCGGACCCACTGTGGAACTTGAGAACTACAGCTTCGAGGTAGTTCTCAAGTTTATATATACCTTAGTACCGCCATAAATAAAACTAATGACATCAGTTTTGAAATTCGGAGAAGTATTGTGATGGCCAACAGATGCTACTATGGTCTAAGTAAGCAGTTTAGAAACAAGGCCACCTCCCGTAAGACCAAACTCACACTTTACAAGACGCTGATACTACCCGTGCTGTTATGTGGATCAGAAGCATGGGTACTTGCGCAAGCAGATGAGGAAGCTCTTGGGGTGTTTGAAAGAAAAATACTCCTAATGATCTACGGGCCGATCTGCGTCGACGGTGAATATCGGCGTCGAATGAACCACGAGCTATACAATTTATTCGCCGACATCGACATAGTCAGTCGTATTGATCTGCAGCGACTACGATGGCTAGGCCATGTTGAACGAATGAATGAGAATGGTCCAGCCGAAAAGGCATATAAAAGCGAGCCTAGTGATGGTTGCCGCAGAAGGGGAAGCCCACGAATTAGATGGGAAGACCAATTAGAAAGCAACATCTTGGAACGTGGTCTTTCAAATTGGAGGAGATGCGCATAAGATCGAGGCGCTTGGAAATTTTTTTTATGCTCGGCCTATGGAACAAATGTTTTGTAATAAGCCAGCTAAGTAAGTAAGCATTCGATATGCAAAATTTAGTCCCAATCAGACTAATATTGGGAGTTTGGTGTATCATTCAAAAAAAAATCGGAAGAAACTATATATGGGAGCTATACTAAATCTGAACCGATTTTAACCAAATTTCGCAGAGTCTGGATCTAATTCAGCACTCAGTGCAAATTTGGACCCAAGCGGAGTTTGTTGTATCATTCACAAAAAATCGGACGAAACTATACATCAAAACCGATTTTAACAAAACTTCGCTGACATCAGTCTGGATCTGATTCAGTGCGCTGTGTAAAATTTTGTCACAATCGGAATAATATTGGGCGTTTAGTGCATCATTTACATAAAATCGGGCGAAACTATATATGGGAGCTATATCTAAATCTGAACCGATTTTCTCCAATTTCAATAGGGTTCGTCCTTGGGCCAAATAACAACCAACTTTCATCCAAATTGGAAATAATTCTTTATTTTGTTAACATTAGTCTTTCTCTTCAGTCACATCGTTCATTTCCTAATCGAATACTAATTAAAATAAGAATTTGTCCGAGTATCTTAATGGCGTCTGTGCTTAAGTTTACGAACTGTCTTATAGCGATAACCATCATCACCAAAGACGGCAGTCTGTTCGGGAACAGAAACAATACTGATGACTTCTTCGGTTTGAGATTCAGATGGAGGCAAATATTCGTTTGAGGGAAATTCATTAACATCACGACGATGACGATAACGAATGAGACGCACGGTCTTGTAACGATAGCCATCATCAGCCAAGACGGCAGTTTCTTGGGAAGCAGCTTCTACGGGAGCTTCGACGGCAACTTCTTGTTCGGTGGCGGTAACTGGAGGCAAATATTCGTTGGTTGGCAATTCATTGACATCGCGACGACGACGATAACGGATGCGGCGCACGGTCTTGTAACGATAGCCATCATCAGCCAAGACAGCAGATTCTTGGGATGCAGCTTCTACGGGAGCTTCCACAGGGGCTTCTACAGCAACTTCTTGTTCAGTGGCAGCAACGGGAGGCAAGTATTCATTGGTTGGCAATTCATTGACATCGCGACGACGACGATAACGGATACGACGCACAGTCTTGTAACGATAACCATCATCGGCCAAGACGGCAGTTTCTTGGGAACCAGCTTCTGCGGGAGCTTCGACAGCAACATCCTGTTCAGTAGCAGCAACTGGAGGCAAATATTCGTTGGTTGGCAATTCATTGACATCACGACGACGACGATAACGGATGCGACGCACGGTCTTGTAACGATAGCCATCATCAGCCAAGACAGCAGATTCTTGGGAAGCAGCTTCTACGGGAACTTCAACAGGGGCTTCGACAGCAACTTCTTGTTCAGTGGCAGCAACGGGAGGCAAGTATTCATTGGTTGGCAATTCATTGACATCGCGACGACGACGATAACGGATACGACGCACAGTCTTGTAACGATAACCATCATCGGCCAAGACGGCAGTTTCTTGGGAACCAGCTTCTGCGGGAGCTTCGACAGCAACATCCTGTTCAGTAGCAGCAACTGGAGGCAAATATTCGTTGGTTGGCAATTCATTGACATCACGACGACGACGATAACGGATGCGACGCACGGTCTTGTAACGATAGCCATCATCAGCCAAGACAGCAGATTCTTGGGAAGCAGCTTCTACGGGAACTTCAACAGGGGCTTCGACAGCAACATCCTGTTCAGTGGCAGCAACTGGAGGCAAGTATTCGTTGGTTGGCAATTCATTGGCATCACGACGACGACGATAACGAATGCGACGCACAGTCTTGTAACGATAACCATCATCTGCCAAAACTGAGCTGTCTTGGGCGGCTTCAACAGCTGGTTCCTCGACTGCTACAGTTTCCTCAGTGGCGGCTGCAGTTTCGGTGCTTGGAGGCAAATATTCATTGTTCATTAATTCGCTTACATCGCGACGTTGTCTAAACTTAAGTTTACGTACAACCTTGTAGCGATAACCATCTTCGGCAATTGGAGCGACTTCGGCATCCACTTCTGGTGCGATATACTCCTGAGTTATCAGGCTATTATCCCCCACGGGTGGCAAATATTCGCTGTTTATAGAAGCTGCGGATGCAGCTGCTATGGCAGCAAAGGCAAAAACGAAGAATCTCTGCAATAAATAAATTCATTACATATGGTGTAATGTCGGTAATATCTTCGAAATCCTCAAAAAAAATTTTTTTTGTACGTACCATTCTACTTAAGACCGAACAACTTAAGCTATGAAAGACAAGATGGGTTATGATTTGTTCTCATCGCAATATTTAATATTTATACACTAGATTGATGAGAAGACGAACAAATGACCTTATTTTGTATAATGTTTATTTCAGATACAATTAAAATCACTAATCCATAAATTTCGCCTATGAAAGGCCCCATAAAACTGCTTGGCCAATCACTTGGCTAGGTTGTTAGGTTAGATTGTTGAACGCGGACAATAAACTTCGCCGATATTCTTATTGATATGTTTTTTTATGCTTTCTGTTTTGCTCATCCCAATTGTGTGGGTCTGTCGTATTGTTATGATGATGATGGTGGTGATGTGCGGATAAATGCTATAATAGACGTTTTCAATTATTTCCGGAAATATTTTTTTGGTATACACCTTTCATTTTTTTAACCAATTAAAATTCAAGTATGATAGTTGTTTTATATGAAAAAAAAATGTTTAGGAGTTATTGATATTATAGACAATAACTATTTAAATATTCATTTTTTCAGAATGGCAGGGTATTATGCCTTTGTGCATATGTTTGTAACAGGCAAAAATAATCGAGATAGACACATGATTCCTTTTGAGAATATGCATAGAATCACTTTCTGAGTCGATTTATGCATGTCCGTCCGTCCGTCTGTCTGCCCATGTTAAGTTGTAAACAAAGTACAGGTCGCATTTATGATTCGAATTGGATGAAATTTGGCACAGCTCATTTGCTTGGCTCAAGGACGACCCCTATTGAAATTGGGAAAAATTGGTTCAGATTTATATATAGCTCCCAAATATATATTTTCGTCCGGTTTAAGGTAAATGGTGTACCAAAGTCCCTATATATCATTCGATTTGGACGAAATATCGCTGAACTAAGTCTAGAATGATGTGTGCAATGTTTCGTGAAAATCGGTTCAGATTTACATATAGCTCCCATATATAGTCTCACCCGATTTTAGGTAAATAGTCCACTAAAGACCCAGATTTAGTTATAGCTCCCATATATATTTTCGTCCGATTTATGGTAAGTGGTGTACCAAAGACCCTATATATCATTCGATTTGCACGAAATTTGGCATAGTGTATTGAATTGTGTCTATAATGATGTGTGCTAAGTTTCGTGAAAACTGGTTCAGATTTGGATATAGCTCCCACCAAAGTTGCTGAATCCCAGTTTTCCCAACAAAAAAAGTATGGGAACTGATGAGGATCAGTGACGAGATTCCAAAACTATAGTCTTGCTTACCTCACCCCTTGGTGGACAATGCCATACTTCCCCCATTAATATATAGTTCTTTTTACAAGGAATTGTGGGGAAATCGGTTAAGATTTAGATATAGCTTATGTAAATTCAGCACCATTCTGCCAATGTTTATCCGATTGAAACAAAATTTTGCACAGCGTACATAATTAAGTCCTGTTTGATGTCTGTGAAATTTAGTTTAAATCGGGACAGATTCAGATATAGCTCCCATATATTGTTTGTCCGATTTTAGGTAAATGGAGCATAAAAGGCCCAAGGTTTTTCCGATTGAGACTAAATTGTTCACATCGTACTGAATTAAGTTCAGATTGATGTCTGTGAAGTTTTGTTGAGATAGGTTTAGATTTAGATATAAAGCTTCCATATATAGTTTCGTCCGATTTAATTTAAATTGTGCACCAAACTCCCAATATTTGTCCGATTGAGATAAAACTTTGCACAGCGTACTGAATTAGGTCCAGTTTGATGTCTGAGAAGTTTTGTTGAAATCGGTTCAGATTTAGATATAGCTCCCATATATAGTATGTCCGATTTTAGGTAAATGGAGTACAAAAGTCCCAAGATTTTTCCGATTGAGACAAAAATTTTCACATCGTGCTGAATTAAGACAAGATTGATCTCGGTGAAGTTTTGTTGAGACCATATCACATAGCTTTGTTCGATTTTAGATAAATGATCCACTAATCTCTACATTTTGTTCTGATTAAGACAAAATTTGACATAACGTATGGAATTAAGATAAGGATATTGTGTATTAAGTTTGATAGGAATCGGATCAGATAAAGATATAGCTCCCATGTATAGTTCGTCCGATTTTAGGCAAATGGTGCAACAAACTCCCAAGGTTTATGCAATTGGGACAAAATATTGCGCAGCGGTTTTATATAAATGGTAGTCTTCCCGATTGACCTGGAAATTTTCGTAGATTTCAGAATCCATATGTCAGCAGTTTAAAATTTATCCTGAACGCATTGCTCCCATTTCGATTTGTTTTTGTTTGGATCAGAGAGACTTATGTGAAGTTTCGTGGAAATTGATTCAGATTTAGATAGACCTCCCATATATATTTTCGTCTGATTTTATGTAAATGATTGACCGAGGAGCCTACGTCTGTTCCATATGTGGACAACGCACTGTGCTGCAGCATACCAAATGGTATATGCCACGATTGCTCAATTAGGTCCAAATTTACATAAATACATACATACATAATTTTCTAAGTTTTCTTATAAATGGTACACCAAAGAATCAAAAACTCCCCGATTGATCCGAAAAAATTCTTAGATTTCAGAATCCATATTTTAGCAGTTTTCGATTTATCCTCTACGCATTGCTCCCATTTCGATTTGTTTTTATGACCCGTTTTCCTCACAACAGATTATGCATTCCATTTTCATCAGAGTCTTTACATTCATATTTGGCATGTGACCATTAAAATTCCAAAACTGGGGCGGGGCCTTTATATGATGGTGATGTCGAAACATTCTTAAAATTCTTTGCAAAGATGGTCTTCTCCATTCTCCAGAACCTGGACTATGAAATTATAGTTCCTTCAGTTGGAAAATATGTTGAAGATCTTCAAAAATTTCATAGATTTCAGAATCCATATTTCAGCAATTTTCGATGTGTCCTCGACGCATTGCTCCCATTTCGATTTGTTTTTATGACTCACAATGGATTATGCATCCCGTTTTCATTACAGTCTTTACATTCATATTTGGCACGTGACCATTGAAATCTCAAAACTGGGGCGCGGCCTTTATATGGTGGTGATGTCGAAACATTCTTTGGAAATATGACTTTCTCTATTCACAAGAACCTGGTCTACGAAATTATAGTTTCTTCAGTGTTGAAAATCTTTAAAATTCCCAAAAAAGTCAGAACCTTAATATGGGAAGTATGTCAAAATAAGTCCATATTCTGAAAAGACGAACCGATACAGGTTCCTTTGGGGCGGAAATATTATATGGTGGCCATATAAACAAAATAACTTTTTTGGACTTTTTCTGCATAAATATTCCACTGCAAACCAGGTATACAAAATTACAGATACTTGGGTTGTAAAATTCATCTAAATTCTTACAAATGCCGAATATTGAACCAGAATTTTATATAGGAGCTATGTCAAAACATGTACTCATATCGAACATTTTCTGTATATAAGTATGACAAGAACCAAGTACTAGAAGTGTTATGTTATAGTATTTGGTTGGGAAATACGTCCATATCCTTTAAAATACCGAAAATAGGGTGGATCCTTATATGGAGAGGCTATACCAAAACGTGAACCGATATATCCCATTATCAATGCCAAACATCTTAGAAATAATAGCAATGTGTGTGTGTGTGTAAATTTCAACAGGCAGATGGACAGGATACGGCTAAATTGTTATTTTAAGTTGTGCATACTTTTAGGCGTTTTAAATAAAAGGTTTGATTTTTTTCTCAGGGGACTAGGGACTAAAGTCGAGGATTCAATGATTTTGTAATTGTAGATTTGAGCCTCTATAAATGGTCAGGACACGGCTAAATTGTTATTTTAAGTAGTGCATACCTTTAGGTGTTTAAAAAAAAATGTTTGATTTTTTCCTCAGGGGACTAGGAACGGGTTACAGGCGGAAAGGTATACACCACATATAGTACTTACGTATCCTATTATTTCCTAATTCAAGGGACATTTGTCAAATAATAGTTCTAAAATATATTCCATCCCAATGATTGTAATCCCTAATACAAAAAATCTAAATATAATTGCTAGTGGATATATATCCAGTGATTGGATTATTTGCCAATGACAGAATGTCCAAGTACTCAGTCCAAAATATGTACGTGTGTGTATGAATATGCAAACACAGACCTACTTAAATGTGAGACGTCTGTATGTCTGTATATTCGATTGCCGGGATGTAAGCGTTTTGCATGCGTTCGTAGAAGAGTAAATATAATAAATTGATAAATTTATTGAATACACATGGCCAGCATTATTATGTCCGACTGACTCATCAGCCCAGACATATAGACCCACACAAAAATTATTGTATTTTTATTGACAGTTTGAAAGGACAAACCCTAAAAACATCTACATTCACTTAACGGCAAAAATATGAATCGAACTGGCTGAGTGAGTGAGTGACTGACTGAATGAGGTTCATCGGAATATACAATTGTCAATGTTTGGTTACTGCTACTACTGGCTGTCCGTCGTCTGCCTGGCCGGCTGGCAGCCGACTTGCAATTTCTGCTCCATTGCAAACTGCCACTGGTTGGACATTAAAATTCAATTGAATGCGAGTGCAAATTTAATTCCCAAAACTCCCAAAAGCATAAAGTAAATTATTTCAATTAAAAATTGTGTCCAGTATATTCGTATTCACAGAAAATGTGTAGCCTCCAAGCCCCTGCACAACTGAGGGAGTGTGTGTGTACGTACGTGCGTATACGATATATGAAATGTATAAATGGTTGGGGTATATGTGTAAGTGTGTGTGTCGTTGTGCGTGTATTGATATTGCTGACCACATCCTTTTTTGCCAATTCCCAATTTTTTTCCACTTCCACTCTTTCCCTGAATGTTTGTGTGGCATATTTAAATATGTATGTGTGTGTGTGCGAGTGCGTCTGTGTGCATTTTGTG